CTTGTCTAATTAGATTTCCTTTTATTAAAAAACTCACAATAAAAGGTAATTTGTGTTAGTATCTTAAAGAAATTGTTTTATTTTGCCTATTTAATTTTAATTGGTAATTGATTTGTGTCAAAGTTGACACATTTGAAATTGAATTATCAATAACACTCCTTTTAATATTTAATGTAATATATATTATCACAAGGCGTGGTGTAATATCCAATGTGGTGAATTAATTATTTATGCACCAATTGATTTATTTCAATATTTTATGCACCAATTGATTTATTAAATATTTTATTATGCATTGACACTTTTTTTTACAAAGCAAATAATAATTAATTTATTAATTTATAAAAACTGAGTACAATCCTCTAATGTATTATTTTCTTTTAAAGCAAATAATAATTAATTTATTAATTTATAAAAATTGAGTACAATCCTCTGATCCTTTGTTAATTTTAATTATTATTGCAATTTTTGTTAATTTAAAAATATTTAAGAGTAATCCACATCTAATATTTACAATACATTTAAGAAATAAATAAATAAATAAATGAGTGACATGCAATATTCTTTATTTTCATAAAACTATTTTCAACCAAGTAGTGTTATATGAGTTTTTGTTCTCCGAGAACTGTTTTGTAATTTTTCCAACCAAAATTTAAGTTTGAATTTAATTTCATACAGGAAAGTAAATGCGTTCTTCTCACTGCAGAAAAAAAGAAAAAAATGTTGAACTGGGTGCTGTGTCTATTTTCTCAGATTCATGCTATCTAGTTTTATTTTTTCATTCTAACTAATTACCAAAAATTGCATTTTGGATTTGATTTCATACAAGAACTTAACCACGAGTCTAGTTACCAGTGTACGACAAATCCGTTGTTCAACCAGGGGCATTCCACATCCTTGTTAAGGGCCTTGATTTTCAGTGTTCTATGTGAGTTTGCATATGCAAAATATGCAGCGGTGTGGAGACTTCTGTTTAAACCTTCCACAATTGTGTAATTAAGTCACACACAAACAAGAGATGACAATTTAAAGTCAGTATTACACACATGGATTGATCTCTCAACTGCTTTGTGATGTGCTTGTTCTTTGGATGTTCATTGTCTTGACTTTGGATGTTCAATTTCTACAGCCTTCATCCTTCCTCAATGTCTCTATTTATAGGCTGATGACATGTGTCCTCTCCTGATAAGGACATAATCAAAACTGGGCCGGGTCGGATGAATGTCATTATCTTTTATAATAATAGTATAGATATAGATATAGATATAAATTTTGTGTTACAGTTTTATAAAAACTCTTTTAATAATAAAATACATTTATTAGGGAATTTGTAATTTGAATTTATAGAAACTCTTTTAATAAGAGTATAGATTTATTAGGTAATTTGTAATTTGAATTTTATTATTTTTTTAGAAACAAATAAATAAATAGGTAATTTGAATTTTATTAATTAATTTGTAGAGTTTATATCAATTAATAAATATTTTTTTATATTAATAAATAAATATTAAAATACTGAAACACTTTGCACATTTAATAATAGTATAGATATAGATATATATAGATGCTTGCAGGGAGGGATTTGGCTTGGACTTGGCCTCAATTTTTTATATCTTTGTTTTGCATTAATAAAATTCTGGAATTCTAAAAGTGCCTACAATTGCGCGCGCTTTGGGACGCCACTATAGTCTACTTCTCCTTCTAACCGAATCACCTTTTGAATCCCTCTAAACGTATTGTGATATTCAAATTATTTATTACTATTTTACTGTAGGAAGAACCCACTATATGTATATAGATGTATTTTGTTGACAATAATAAAAGACAATGACAAGTAATTAGATAGTAGAAAGGAGATGGAAAAATGTACCTCTAGAGTGAGCAAGGAAAAGGACAACGAGGAGGGGAAGAACCCAACAATTCTTCATCTTAGGGACAAGTTTTGATGTCAAATTTACACTAGCCTTCCCATTTATAGACCACAGACTTGCTATCTATCTATGTCATCTTTAATTATCCATCAATGTGGAAGAGTCTTCATCTCAAATTAAAAGTCTCTCTCTCCTCATCCAGAGACCTACCATCTATATATAGTCATCTTCAATGGTCCATCAATGTGGTCAGTAAGTAATAGTAGGCAAAAAAAAAAATATATATATATATATATATATATATATATATATATGTATACATGTATTTATATTGGGTGAGTGTGTGTGTATGTATATATATATATATATATAGGGTCGTTGATGAATAACTTTAAAATTTCTCCGTACTAAATACGTGCATGTATTTTGCTTAATTATACAAAAAACATAAGCGAAAAAACCCTCCAGTTGATAAAAATCACCAGGCAAACGGACGATAATCTCCACTAATTAAATCGAGTAGTACACCGTTGCCATCAAGTTTATGCCAAACTCGAGAAATTACAATCGCAGGAGAATAACAAAACAAGAAAACCTCTCCCAAACAACCCGTTGGCACTACTCAGAGCAGTAGTAAAATAATACCTCTGCAAATCCGCGAAGCCAATTTCTACTCTGCGTTGTTGTGCCCTTCACCGTCCTAAATAGCTGCACAAAGCACCATTGTTGTTACGTCGACTCTGTATCTCCAAAGCCACACCTAGTTTTTAGTTTCACTTTAGGTTTCCTAAAACCTAACAAATCACGTAGTGCACCACGTGCACACTGGCCCACCAAACCGTGCACTACTAGGGCACATAATTTTAATTTTCTTTTTAATCATAAATCACGTGGGTTAGACCGCACAAATCTCCCCCCTCCACCCACGAGGGGAAAAAACCACCATGCACTCTTAGATGGAGTGCATCCCCGCCATCTTGGCGCAAAACTTAGGGAGCTACTTTGTCAACATATCAGAGGCATTCAATTGTAGCAATTGCTTCTCAATCACTGTACGTATCCAATGATACTTAACATCAATGTGCTTTGTACGTTGTACGAGAATGATACATCGCATTCTTGCTCATGTCAATAGCATTCTGACTCTCACATAATACTATGCATTCTTTTTGCTTTAACACCAATTCTGGAAGGAACCGTTTCATCCACATTAATTCTTTACTGGCTACAGTAACAACAATATACTCGGCCTCAGTTGTAGACAAGGCAACACATTTCTACAATTTAGACTGCCATGACATATGTGACGTCACAAATTTTTTCAGATTTTTTCCGGCATTTTTCTGATTTTTATTTTTATTTCCTTGGTGAATCATTTTGTGTGTCAAGCATTGGTTCTCATACCGTGTGGGTCCCAGTAAATTGTTTTAGATTTTTAATTTTCTTCCACCATTAGTTTTTTGGGTAAAGTTTAGTCACACCCCCTGAGATTTAGCAAAAGGACACTCAGATGAAACTTACCTATTTTTTAGACAAAAACAACTCCTGAAGGTTCAAAAATGAATAAAGACACCCCTTTACATAAGAAATTGACCAAATTACCCTTTAATAGTTTAGGAGACTTTTTTAACTTTACAATTTAATAAATTTGACCAATCTACCATCATGAACAACTTATGCATAAAAAAAAGTAACCAAAAAAAAAAAAAAACTTTATATTGTTCACTCTTTTTTTTTCTTTTTTTTTCTTTTTGATATTTACTTTATAAATATCCCAACTTCTAAAAAATGTAGACGTCTAAAATGATTTTTTGATCCAATACATATATTTCAAATAAATTATATTTTGTTATTACTTCTTTTCTTTTTCTTTTTTATTTTAAAATGAAGATGCTTAATTCTTTCATCTAAAAAAATTAAACCAATCTTTTTTTCTTAAAAATAAAAAATATGGTACCAGTATAACTTATGCATCTTAAATTATATATAAAATATTATGCATTTTCCAACATAAAAGGGGAAAAAAAATAATAAAACAAAGGGAAAAAAAAAAAAAAAAAAACAAAGGCATGCATAAAGTTATACTGGTACCTATTTTCTTTTATATTAGAAAATGTATAATATTTGATATAATTTAAGATGTATAAAGTTATACTAGTACCATATTTTTTATTTTTAAGGAAAAGAGATTGGTTTAATTTTTTTAAATGAAAGAATTAAGCATCTTAATTTAAAAATAAAAAAGAAAAAGAAAAAAAGTAATAACAAAATATAATTTATTTGAAATATATGTATTGAATCAAAAAATCATTTTAGACGTCTACATTTTTAAAAAGTCGGGATATTTATAAAGTAAAAAAAAGTGAACAATATAATTTTTTTTTTTTGCTTTTTTATATGCATAAATTATTCATGAAGGTAGATTGGTCCAATTTATTAAATTGTAAAGTTAAAAAAGTTTCCTAAACTGTCAAATAATAATTTGGTCAATTTTTCATGTGAATGGGTGTCTTTGTCCATTTTTGAACCTTTAGGAGGTGTCTTTGTCCAAAAAACAGCTAAGTTTCTTCTGAGTGTCCTTTTATCAAACCTCAGGGGGTGTGGCTGTACTTTACCCTAGTTTTTTTATATATTTAGTTTAATTACTTAAGTAAATTGTTTCCTTTTTTCTATTAGTTTCCTTTACAGTTTTAGTGTTTTATTTATTATAAATATACATGTATGGGAGAAAAAAAAAAAAATCAATTAATTTTTATCAATAATACTCTAATTGCTTTGGAATTTTCTTTTTCTTGTGGATTAAGATACTCTACCCTGTGGATTCAAGATTACTCCTGTGAACGAATTTATGGCTTCTACTTGCATCACAAGATGCATAATATATTAACATGCATATTGGATGCATATATAGTGTAGATGAATACAGTGGTGCATGGAACGGTCTTTTACAGACTCCAATTGTAATAATAGGTTGATTACCCAAGAAAAATAAATAAATAAAAGATTGATTAACAACAACATATCTCAGGCATGTGAAAACAGGCAAATTCCATTCGCAACAAATTTCTAACAACAGGTTCAATCAAATCCACAACACAGTAATAGACCTTATATTCATCAACAGGAGTATACAAGAGCCAGCCTTTATTTATTTATTATTTCCTGAACGTGCTTATTTAATTGATATACAAAAGAATACAAACAAAAGAAGAGATATATCCTCACAAAAAAAAAAACCGGTTACCAAAAGAAAGGCAACCAAAGACGGCCCCTAGTCAAAAAATAAATAAATAAATAAATTGAAAATCATCCAAATTTATACCTAATAACTAAAGACACTCACTCAACACAAGTTTCTCTAGCAATAATTGCCACATCCCTGCACTCATTCACTTGATATTTATGAAGAAGATGATTAAAGATCATCAATCACTGTTGCAATGACAAATTAATCAACTTCAGTTAATTTTTGTTAACATAGCAACAACAGGAATGTTCATCGACACATCCAGGATTTTTGTGCCCATCATCTTTTCCACCGCCACAAAGCTGGACGCATTTCTCTTTCGTGCACTCCGCAAGATAGCCAGGCTTGGTCTGACAAGCATATTGAGGATATTGAATGCTACCTGTTTTCATACATTAACCCACAAAAATATTAATATATAGAGTCCCATGCATACATGGTAATAACTAATAGAAGCCAAAAAATATATATCTATATATATCTGTATATATAGTTATACACGGTAGATGCATTTATATTGGCTGAGTACCGATACAAAGACAAGGCAAGGAGATTAGCCATACACAGAAATAATCTCTTACTCACACGAAGAAAGAATATATTTATTTATATTTTACACTGAGCAAGGTGACCGTTATATATATATATATATGTATGTATGTATATGTTTGTGTGTATTTTGTAGACAAATATCAAAGACAATCACGGGTCATTACATAATAGAAAGGAGATGAGAAATTTTACCTTTAGAGAAGGCAAGGAAAAGCACCAAAAGGAGGGGAAGAACCCAACAACTCTTCATCTTAGGGATAAGTACTCTTGATGTCAAAATTCACACGAGCAAGTTTTGATATCAAATTCACACTAGCTCTTCCCATTTATTACTTACTATCTATCTATAGTCATATATAATTGTCCATCAATATGGAAGAGTTTTGATGTCAAAGTCACGTACACTAGCTCTCTCCATCCACAGACCTATCTATCTATCTATAGTCATCTTCAATTGTCCATCAATATGGAAGAGTTTTGATGTCAAACTCACACTAGCTCTCTCCATCCACAGACCTATCTATCTATCTATAGTCATCTTCAGTTGTCCATCAATGTGGTCAATAAATTTGTTTCCATATATATGGTTAATTATTTTTTTAGTGTGCACACCAAATATAAATGGCCGATAAGCCTACTTGGTATCCAATTGATCCAAAAACGAATTTTGAAACATAAGAACTGCAACCTGTTGCGACAATTTGAAAAAAGAACTTTACTTTGAAAATTTTGTAAGTGTTTAAAGCTAAAACTCACCAAAGATACAAAAATAAATAAAAATAAAAAAAATAAATAAATTGTCCTCACCAACATACCTTCTATAATATGGTATTCTCAAACAAATCAAAGTTGAACGCATATTAGGTGGCATACATGCACTTCTTTTTCCATTTCGACATCAAGACTCAAAAGTATGACAAAATTTGTCAATCACAAAATTAATGTCTCACAACTTGAATTGCCTGACATTGCACAGAGAGATGTGCAGAGCCAGCCCAGTATTCTAGGAATGTGAATGCCCAACTTTCTGTTAAAGTTTCTATACTTGAGTAACAAGTTTTTCCTAATATGACTGATTGATTGTTATTATATTTCTTTTTTGACTTTCTTTGAAGTCTTTCCTTTATAATCATATTCTTGTAAAACAATAATACTTGTAGAGCAAAGTCTTTGTTATTCTTTATTTACAACTCTTTTCTAACCCACCTATAAATAGAGGTGAGTATTTATAAACACGATTAAGAAAATTCATAATAAAAAGTGATGTAGCCCTTTGGGCTTTGTGTGTTATGGATGTAAGCCCTAGTGATTGAATCACGTTATATTTGCGTATTGTTCTATCTTAGTTCTCTTTCCAACTTTTTATATATTTTAACATGGTATCAGAGTCAAGTTGTTCTTGTAACCCCATCTAGAATTTCAGGGGGAGTATTGGAATTAGTATCATGGAGCATGTTCTATATGTTTTCACATTCTTTTCAAGACGTTTCTTTAGCAAGTTGGGCATTCATGATATTCATGCTCCAACTTAAGGGGGAGTGTTGAAATATATAAATATTTCTATATAACTGTAGAGTAAAATCATCCACTAATCATGGTGATTTGGTCAATTCTTTCCAATTATAAATATTTCTATATAATGGCGGAGCAAAATCCTCCACCAATCATGGTGTCTCCTTTGAATATTGTACACGTTCCATGTATTCTTATATTTACCATGCCTAAATATAGGCTCCTTATACTCAAGCAATATATATATCTAAATAATAAAAATGTATCCCTTAGTGGCTTTTTGTCCATGGATGTAGGCCTTAGTACCGAACTATATATATGCATGTGTTTTCCATATTTTTCTCTTCTTCCCTTTTCCTATTTTCATTTCTTATTTCTGCATCCAAATTTAACATGGTATCAGAGTAAGTTTATTGTACCCTACTTTAGATCATTCTTCCACACAATTCTTCTTGATTGATTTTCTCTCCATTATCAAATTGTTAGGCAAAAATTGTTGATTTTTTGCCATCATTTTGTACGTTGCATCATTTTGTGCATTTCGATTTTCTTCATGTCAACTGAATAGTGACATCTTCGAAGGAGTCTTTTCGTGGCCATATCATTAGGGGGAGCCTCTACACCAAATATCATGCAGAGTTATTTTTTGTATGCTTAAATGCATATTATTGGTTATATGCCAAATTTCTGATCAAGTGCTCAGAATTATGTTTTTCACTCTTACAGACCCTATGTTCACTTGTGTATATCTTCACTAAATCGTTGGAATGTGATTTGATATGCAAGCTGGACATTATTTTCATACACGTTCCACCTTGAGGTGAGGGGAGTGTTAAAGTTGTAACAAAAAATATGACTAATTGATTGTTACCATATTTTTCTTTTGACTTTCTTTGAAGTCTTTCCTTTATAATCATATTATTGTAAAATAAGAATACTTGTAAAGCAAGTCTTTGTTATTCTTTGTTTACAACTCTTTTCTAACACACCTATAAATAGAGGTGAGTATTTGTAAACACAATTATGTGACATCCTCAAAGGAGTCTCTTTATGACCGTATCATCAGGGGAGCCTCTACACCAAATATCATCATATATTTTCATCTTGTTATCGCTGCAGAGTTATTTTTTGTATGCTTAAATGCATATTATTGGTTATATGCAAATTTTTGATCAAGTGCCCAGAATCATGTTTTTTACTCTTGCAGACCCTATGTTCACTTGCGTATATCTTCACTAAATCGTTGGAATATGATTTGATATGCAAGCTGGCCGTTATTTTCATACACATTCCACCTTGATGGGAGTGTTAAAGTTGTAACAAAAAATATGACTAATTGATTGTTACCATATTTGTCTTTTGACTTTCTTTGAAGTCCTTCCTTTATAATCATATTATTGTAAAACAATAATACTTGTAAAGCAAGTCTTTGTTATTCTTTGTTTACAACTCTTTTCTAACACACCTATGAATAGAGGTGAGTATTTGTAAACACGATTAAGAGAATTCATAATAAAAAGTGATGTAGTCATTTGGGCTTTGTATGTCATGGATGTAAACCCTAATGGTTGAACCACGTTATATTTGCATATTATTCTTTCTTATTTCTCTCTTCAACTTTTTACATATTTTAACAAAATCCTCCTCCAATCATGATGATCCGGTCAGATTCCTTCCAATTATAAATATTTCTATATTTCAACAAGTATTGACACGAAGACTACATGGATCAAGACTTTCTATTTAAATCCTTCCTGGTGGAGATAATAATTTTACACGAGTTTGGTGAGAGGTGTCCTTGTTTTGGAGTAGGAGTCTGATGGAGTCAGCAAAAACGAAAATGATGGCTTGTTCTTGTAATACCCCGATTTTTAAAAGGATTTATTAATTAAAATTAATTTTATTTTTTTTATTTTAATTTTTTTAACTGATACGTTTTATTAAATTAAGTGCGTAGATAAATTGTGATTTGTTTATGGTGTTTGATTTGCGAAATGCTAATGAGTGAATTGTTTATTTGATTTGTGTGTGTTTAAGCTTATTTGTATTATTTATTTAGTTATTTTATATATTTAAATTGTTTGGATTGGGTTTAAGGGAAGTTGGACTAACGGATGTGGTATTGGGCTTGAAGGAAGCCTTGTTGGGTTAGTTATTAAAGGCCTATGGTTGTGAAGATATTTAATCATTATCTTTGCAAATATATATATATATATATATATATATATATATATATATATATATATAATTATATGTATATAAATTTAATTAATTAATAATCATGTGGAGGGGTATATATGTCAATATATATATATATATATATATATATATTGATATATAGGAATAAATAATTTATTTAACTAATGATTATATATGGAAGTTAATATACATATTTATATTAAAATATATGTGTATATATATTATTTAGAAGATAAATATTATTTATTTTATATGTTAATCATAATGGGAAAAGGATTTGGTTTTTATGTGTATAAATAGATACATAAGACTTTAGGGTTAGGAGTTTTTCTCACGTTAGAAAAATAAGGGAGTCAGAGAGAGAAGAAAAAAAGGGTTAACAAAGAGGAAGCTGGATCAGAGAAAGAGGAGGCCGGATTTAGAAGAGACAGGCAAGTTCTTCTCTAGTTTTCCTCTCAGAATTCATAAACCTAGCACCTTGAGTATCAAAATCATATGGTTATTTTGTTGATTAAGAATAATTTATTAGTTGGATTATATGAGCATATTTAATCTTTACAAAATTATAGAATTAAACATGTCAATATAGGTATACCTTACTCTCATAATTTAAATTTTTGTATGTGAGGTTAGGTTAATTAAATTTTATTTTTTTTTGTAAAATTTTTATAGATTGCTTTAATCTTGTGTAGCATGATTAATTAAATTAAATAGATCTTAATTTAATTATGTATGTTCAATTAGGCCCAAAATAATTGAATTAAGCTTTGGGATTTTTCTAGAATTTTCTGGAATTCTTTTATGTTTTTTTTTAGAATTTATTTTATATATTCTGTGTATATATATTTATATATATTGTTCATACATATGCACTGGAGGATGCTAAAGAAATCGGCGCAACAAATAGGGGGTTTTGATTCAGTGAGTCGCGGAGCGCAGCACTTTGGTGCGCCTCAAATCAGGACCTTAGGATGGTCCTGATGATTTTCGGATTATCTAATGTGGGTGTGTGCATAGGTAGAAGGTGTAACCACTGATCTAGGCCCTTGGATCAATCTGGTCAACAAAGATGGGATCCGGTGCATCGCAGCGCATGGAGTTCTGTATGGGTGTGTATCTGGACCGTTGACTTAGTCCAGTCAACAACAAAATTAATCCAGTGTGACGCAACTCACCAAAGCCCGATGTTCTAGCCAACCAGAAGCAGCCACGTCCTCCAGAATGAAGAACAGGTGCGTGGGGGATCGTGTACGGCCCGTGGAGGCGCGTGAAGATACCCGTCAGCTTGTGGTGGCGCGTGGAAGTGCGTACAGTGAGTCTAGGAGCGTGGGTCGGCGCGTGGAGGCGCGTGCAGAGGTGTTTGAGGACCAGGAAAGCTTTTGTGGGGTCTAGTGATTTATCAGAGTTGGTTTTTAAACTGTTGGGGTTGACAGCAACCGTTAGAGTATGCGTTAGTGGTATTTTGAGAACCATATAGTGTCACTATGGTATTTAATGTGCGTACATATATTAAATTAATAGTTGGGGATGGAAAGAAGTGTATATAGGTATATTTGTTATATATATATATATATGTAATGTATGAATTAATTAATA